AATTTCCTGCCACTAAATGAAAATATGACACTAAATAGGACACAATTCACTAAATGAAAATATGACACTAAATAGAACACAATGGAGAAAAAAGATTCATGTAGCCGACCCCACGTAGTGGGATTAAGGCTTTGTTGTTATTGTTATTGTTGTTGTTGTTATTGTTGTTGTTGTACATATCCATCCTGAGGCAAACTCAATGTAGTAAGACATGTAGGCTATCAAAAAAGCTCGTCATTCGCGAACCACTCATGTTCTACTCATTAAATAGCTAATGTTTGAATCGTTCAATAAGCAAGAGAGCCAAACAAAAACATATTTTTTGAGCTTGATTTATAAACGAGTTTGCACGAACAAAAATTTGCTCGTTTGTATCTGGCTCGTTTTGACTTGAAATAATTAAATAATAATATTCACTTATATCATTTTTATATTAATTTTTATATGCATTTAAAACATGCTAAATTTATTATTTTTAAAATTATTTGAGTGATGTAATTATAAAAAATATAAGTTTAGATGTTAGATATGCAAATAAATAGTATTTGGGCAGTATGTATGTAAATGCACCTAAAATAGCTTTAGAGTTTAGAGCAGTTCCTCGCCGCAGCAACGACGAGGACCACGCATTACGTAATCTAACACATTCTTTAGTCCCGCATGGGGAACAACAAGAAATTAGTTATGAGAAAAGCTTTTTAAAAGCAAACATTAGGATTTCTAATGAAATTAAAACTTAAACTAAATAGTGCGGATGTAAAACATCTGAAGAGTGTTCAATAAAAATAATTAATTTTATTAATTTAATAATAACAATTTAATTAATTGCTTTCTTTAGTCCCATGAGGCGAGTAATTTAAATTTGAGTATGAGCCGAACACGAACAAAAAAAATAACAAGATGAACATGAAAAAGTCTTGGGCTCACTTAAACTCGGCTAGTTCACACCCCTAAAGACATGAAACATTAGAAATTTGGTGTGTGTTGAAGTGTTGAATGAGTAATTTGTTGGTTAGAAGACTAACAACTAGCTTAACAATAACCAATTTTTTTTTTTCATATATTTAAGAGAGGTGAGTCTTACGTCAAGGAACTATTGCTCCTTTAGAGAGCCTATGGACGCGATCTTCGGAAAATTTTACTTTTTGCTTCAATTTAAATATTGACAACTAGGTCACTCCATAGAGGCTTCCCCTTTCAATGTAAATTATAGAATTGAAGTCTTGACATCTTTGCCAACTAGTAAATTATATCTGAAACTCATTTGATTCCTAATCTCATGACATTTATGAATGCATGTGAAGACATCATCTATGCTCAAAATTGCAGTGCCAATCGATTTGACCACCACAACATCTACAAAGTGGATTTAAGCTTTTCAAGGTATTATTTGTTTCCAATTCCACTATCATTGCTTTCCTCTAATAGGAAGCATGGTGTGACAATTGGTCCAACAACATTACTAGTGAATTTGAGCACAATCTAGAGAAAAGGAGGAATCGAGTTAATAGAGATTGCCATGTTCTCATTGAGAAGATGGGATGGTCCTTGGGGGAACTTTAAGCAAGTCTTATGATGGGGATAAGTGTAATGTTTGAGATAAGCAAGTCACTTCACATCCTAAAACCCATTGTATAAAGGTCTCAAAGATAAAGAGGACATGTGAGCTATAAATACAAATTCTTTAATAAATATAAAAGGAAATCAGTAAGTCTCATTATGCTCTAAAATTTATGTAATGGTTTTCCCCACTTGGCTCAGCACAAAGGCACTCCAATCTAGTCCTAACTCAAGAGAGGATTTAAAAGTGTTCGAACTAATGGACTATCTCAACCCAGCATCTACAGGCAAATAACCAAAAATGTCCTTACAAATTTTAGTAATTAATAGTATGTTACAAGGGCGCTTAGCCTAAGGGCAAATTTGTCTTTCGTACGCCTAAGAGCAATTCAGTCGTTTATTATTATTATTGTTGGGTATAAGTAGTCTTGTTAAGTTTAGGATTAGGGTTAGGTTTAGGCATAAGATTAGGTTTAGATTTTGGGAGAGATTTCCTACCTCTCGAATTGTAGGAATTGGGAGAGATCGTCTACCACCCGAATCGTAGGTGTTTATCTTCGTTTTCTTGTTAAGTTTTTTATTTAGTGCAGAAATATTGTGTTTGCCCTAATTTCTTCCGAAAATGCGTGCTAACTTTGAAATCAGATCGTATCAAATTGGTATCAGAGCAATGATTACTAGGAAATCATCACAGAATCTTGGGCGGTTGTGAGAAACAATCATTGGTTGTGTCGGAACTGACGGAGAAGTGTTGAATGATCTCCTCGTGACCAAAGAAACCTTGTGTTTTGGATAGCTACGCGAGAATTGCAGCGAACAGACACCCGTCTAGGAAGTGTCATCCTCGTGTTCTGGATTGAAATGATGGGACCTGGAAAGGCAGTGACTGAGAAGCGGCCAACCAGACCTAAAAACTAGTGACTTATCTTCCTCTCACGTCATCAACCAGACCGACCTAAAAACTAGTGACTTATCTTCCTCTCACGTCATCAACCAGATACGGTCGCAATCATAGCTACCTGTGAAGACACTGGAGTAGAAGCGACCTATGGGGACCCAAAACTCCCATTATCCTTCGCCTCCTGCGCGACGTTCTCCTCCCCATGGTCTACGGCTACAACGATCGAACCCTGCCAATATAGATTGCGACTTCAATAAGAGGGCCTTGAGGGATCACGAAGAACAGAGATCCAAAAAAGGGCGAGAGGATTGCGATGAACAGAAACCTGAAGAATTGCAGCGAACAGGGACCCAAAGTTTTCATCTTCCAGGGCGACGAATAGAGACCAGAAGCTCCCATCTTTCGGGATCGCGCCAATCTTACAGTCACGGAAAGAGAAGCATCACAGGGATTGCGGTTTACAGAGCCCTAACTAAGCCTTACATTCGCAATTCAAATAGTTCGAAGCTTGAGACGGGATCACGACTACAGGATTCATCTTCGTGTAATAGAATCTAGCAAACAAGTATGATGGCAACAAAGAAAGTAGATGATCTGGAGAAAAAATTGGAGGAAGAGATGAGTCAGATAAAATTTGGGATGGAAGAAAGGTTCGTCAAAATAGATGAGAGGTTGTCTCATATGGAGAATCGATTGAAGGATAGATTCGAGAACATGCTAAAGAGGTTCATTGAGATGTAATCTATGAACATGCCAACAGCTCAATTTACAAACCATAACCAAAGATTAATTGAAGAATATGTAGTAAGATTGAAAGGAAAAGAGATCGAATGTGAGGAATGTGAGGAAAACATCCGCCATCACGAACCTCCTTTCAGGGCTCCGGTTAGGGGCAGATTAGAAATTTCTGATGGAGGTGGTTGGGTCGAAACATGGAGAAGGGATTATGTCAGAGTTTTGGAGAAGCACAAAGAAGAAGAGAGAAAAGCGGGGAGGGTATATGGCTACTGTCAAAGAAAGAAGTTGTGCCCTCGATACATGGAGGAGAGGAAGTTGGGTGGAGAATTTGGAGTTAGGAAGTTGAAGATGTCGATCTTCGAGGGGGAAAACACATGGGTGGGTGCACTAGGTGAAGCGATACTTCGTTGTGAATGGGTTAGAGGAGGGGAGAAACTCATGATGGCAAGATTGTGTTTGGATGGGAAAGCTTTAGCTTGATTTCAGTGGAGAGAGGCTCGATACCTGATTCGTTTGTAGGATTAATTTAAGAACTGTTTGTTGGAATGTTTCAAAGTCATTCGGGAAAGAAACCTACACGAGCAATTCTATGCCTTGACTCAGAAGAGGACGGCCATGGAATAAAGGGACTGATTGGAACTATTGTCGGGACAACTGTGGGGGATTTCTGATGTAAGATTGAAGGATAATTTCATGAAAGGTTTAAAACCTAACATACAGGTAGCACTATGGCTACTAAGACCGTGTGGATTGGGGGAGATGACGGAACTAGCACAGATGGTGGAAGACAAGAACCAGATGCAAAAAGCCAACAAGAGCAACACAAATAGAGCATCATATGGAATGGTTGCAACCATGCCAATTTCAAAAGTTCAAATAGTGGAAGTCCAGAGGGAGGCTGCACGGGACACGAATACTGAACCACAACAGATAAAAACTCAAGCGTCTATCCTGAAAAAACAAGCCAAAGAGTTATGTTTTCAGTTTAATGAGAAGTTTAGTCCAGGACAACGTTGCAAGAATCGAAGATTACATGTTCTCATAGTGCAGAACAAAGAAGCGGAGAATGAAGAAATAGAGACAGCTGCGAGAGAGGAGAAGGAACACTCATTTTTTTCCCACATTGAGCACAAAGTGTCTTTTGAAGGAGAGTATTGTTACGAGGACGCTTAACCTAAGGGCAAATTTTTCTTTTGTATGTCTAAGGGAAATTTAGTTTTTTATTATTATTATTGTTGGGTATAAATAATCTTGTTACGTTTAGGGTTAGATTTAGTCATGATATTGAGTTGTGAGTCATAGGTTTAGGTTTTCAGACAAATTTCCTACCTCTCAAATTGTAGGAATTGGGAGAGATCGTCTACCTCTCGAATCATAGGTGCTTGTCTTTGTTTTCTTGCTGATTTGTTTGATTTAGTGAAGAAATATTATACTTGCCCTAATTTCTTCTAGAAAAGCGTGTCGATTTTGAATTCAGATCATATCACGGTAACAGAAATTCATAACTCCTCTATATTAAAACTGACTAATAAGTGAACTTTCATTAAATAATCCAGAAACTTTGTAAAGGTGTGACTCTTTATAAAAAAAGACCAAGTTTGCAGCATGGTTAGACATTAGGAGTCAAAAACCTCTCTTAAACTGTGGATTCAATGAAGCATGGCAACAAGCTACACCGTATTGGTGCCTGTTAGGAAAAAAAATTCAGAACTTGATACTAGCAACTTTCCATAGAAACTGACAATAAAAATTAAAGGATTTGTAATGAGTAAACAGAAATGTAAACCTGAAGTATTATTACCTGAATTTTTGCACCTCGGTACATAATCACGCCAGGAATGCATGTTAAAGTAGTAAATTCATAGGAGGCAACCTGCCCAATCAATAAAACTAATATAATCAGTATTTTCCAGATTTATAATGTGTTTAACAAAATATCAAGTAGTTCAACATGTTCTTAGGAGTTGTCACATACAAACAGATATCCAGAAATAATTGCAACCATGCTTAAAAATCTTAAGTATCAAAGGAGGGGAAGTGCATAAAGTTTACATTAACTTTTTCAATCTTTTAATAGCCTACTTACATGTCAACGCAATAAAGAGACAGAACAGAACGGAGAGCCATGGAAAGCATAAAAACAAGGATGAAACACCAATAAACTGAAAAGGACAGTTCAAATAGAAGGAGAATACCTCGGAAAAAGTGCCAGTTAACTTGTTAAGTAGTGTTGATTTTCCAACAGATGGAAACCCAACCAGGCCAACGCGTGCATCTCCGCTTTTAGTAACATCAAAGCCTTCACCAGCTCCACCACCGCCTTTTGAAGAAGGCACTAAGAGCTCACGGCGCAACTTTGCAAGTTTGGCCTTGAAAGAAAGTAACACTCATCTCAGATACATATGTCAAACCAAGGAATCAAACAAGGCATTTTTATTTAAAAACTTTAGAATATCCATTTTCTAGCAGGTTATATGACATGAAAACATCATTATGGTTTTATCTCACTATATTTGCATGCTTAACCACACAAACACTGCAATGCATATAACCATCCATGGTGAACAGAGTAACGGGTATAGAATGCAAAATCACATTTTTTCCTTTTTGATGGTAAACCAAAATAAGCCCTAAAAACTCTAGCAATGAAGTCTGAAGATTTTGAACAGATCAAAATACCTTATATTAGCAGATCTGATCAGAAATTAGAAGGGAAAATCATTATTCTTCTGAATCCATAACCGAACAAAAGCAAAAGTTTCATTAGTGTAATTAGTTAAGCTCGAAGTATAACTTCAGCAAAAAACCTTAGATTTTCTTCTTTTTTTTTAGACTGATGAAAAAAATATGGAAAATAATAAACAATTATATAAATTCATCAATAAGCGCATAAAACCAACTTTCTCTCCTAAAATCTAGGCACTAAGATAGGTGGCAAACTGAAGGCTCAAAGTGCAAGTAAAAAGAAATTCATTTCAAGATGCTAAAACAAACCAGTTTGATCAGTCCGAGATTCACCCGGATCAAAAACAAAATCTGCAACTAAAATTAGTGAACAAAACAAAAGAAGAAAACGACAAATAATTTCATGTCATTATTAAAATTTAATGTGTTGCTAGCATGAAATTATGATTATCCATTTTACATAGCATCAATTCACTGACTTTCAAACATTAGGTGTTGGCATTAAACAAACACAATGACAGAAAGAAAAGCAAATTGTGAAATAATCAAATAACTATTATCCAGATATTGACGCTATGGTGGTAGATCTATTATCAGGCAAAAAAACGCATCAGACGCACCTTAAGAAGACCAAGGTGATGAGCAGTAGCTTTGTTTTTCTGCGTCCTGGCCATCTGCATCCATAAATTTGTCATTAGGATCTAAAAAAAGTATCAAACGAGGAAACAAATCTTATGATTATCTATGGCAGAAAACAACATCCCCCATTCCACAGCATCGCGATTTTTTTATGTAATTTCATATTACATTCGCCAAAAACCAATATGGTTCAGACTTGTCCACGTTGAAATAGGTAGAACCTAAATGGAGCTTTACGGAAGGGAGGAGGATAGCGACCGATTCGAGGAGCTCAAAGGAAACAAGCTAGGGTTTGAAAGAATGTATAACTAGGCTCTTTATGGGTGAGAACGAAGAATTTACCTCATCTTCGATGTCTTTGATCTTCTGCATAACTGTAGCCATGGTTTCTGCTGCGAGAACGAGAACAAGGAGCCCTTCCTGGGCTTTGTTTGTGAATCGTCCTCAGAGAGAAGAAGACATCATGCTCTCTAATTGTTGATCTCTTTTTTAGTTGAAACTTTTTCTCATCACTTTCTTCATCATCCAGGTGTAGATTCTTCCATAAAGTCCACAGCTGGTTAATATTAGCTTGGCTTAGGGCTTGGATGAACTTGAATGAATTTGGGCTTAACTTAAATAAATATTAAAATTAAATATAGAACTCCGATTAAACAAACTTAAATTTATCATTGTGTAGATTTGCACATATATTTTTTGATCTTTTGTTGAATTGTTTTCTCATATAATTTTTTTTGTACGCTTTTGCAAGAAAAATCCAATCGTGATCGAGATATTGGGTGATCACAAAAGCTAACATGAGCAAATAAAATAGACACATCAAACCTTATGTCAGTAAGGTTTTCCTATAGCCCACATTTTTCTTTCTTTTTGAGTCATCGGTACACTCTTTTCTAGGGTAGCAGTCTCTATTTATTTTCAAATCGTTTGTACACCTCTTTGTGGGGGTAGGTGGTTCACACTTTCTTTTGTCATTGTGAATGGACATTTAGGCGATTGACATTTAAATAGACAGCAACGTGCTAGGAAAACTTTTGCCCTAGTGACGTGATTTCCTGAGGGGGGCCTGGTACCACAGTGTGGTGCTAGGTCTAAATGACATGTGTGATGTATTTGTTTTTTAAGGTTTGTTTATGCTAAATTTTTTTTTGCAGGTGTCTTAGTAAATGTAGGCTTTCTTTTCCCTTGAATCCTGAGTTAGGATTGTCCTTGTTGGTTGGTTGGGATGCTCAGCATGTCTAAGATGGGCCTTGTTTGAAGATGATGCGAGGATGAACCTCAACGCAAGGATAAACATCAAGAACAAGGATGAACCTCAATTGAATTACATGGTGATGATGAACATCAAAAAGCAAGGATGAAGCCTAATTTGGCGACTGAGCTAAAAGATGATCATCAAATTACTAAAGCATGGAATAAAGACAACCAAAAGCCAAGCCACCAACATAACTTTAGAAAATCTAGGTTGGGTTGTATGAGGGGCAGATGCTCGACAACCCCATTTTCTTTTCTCTTCGCTGTGTGGTGACCCTTAGTCGCCTTCTTTTCATTATTTATTTATTTGACTTATTTTACGTGTTTTCTTGTGTGCTTGCATGCGTGTTAGAGATATTTACTATTTTCCTTGGTTTCTTTCTGTGTTTTAGTGCCTAGTTAGACCTGGCATACCTTAGGCTCTTAGGATGAGATATTTTTCTACCCAACTCCAACTTTAACTTAATTTTTCGAAAATCACAACTTATAACTAACATTTGAACATCACAACACAAAACTTTTTAATTTTAGAGGCATAATTTGGGAGTTTGATTTCTATTTTATTCTTTTAGTGCTTATTGAAGACATTTTTAAGAGTATCATATTTGATTTCTTGTTTTCATGCAGTAATAATGTAACATTCATATTGATTTATTGTTATTTTAGTTTATAAACACTTTTATTCATATTGATTGAGAAACCTTTAATATTTTTTTTTATCTTTTATTCACTTACAAATCTTTTTGATTGATGCTAACATTTTATTTTTTTTATTTTTATTTCCTTTTTAGAGAAATAATAGCTTAAAGCAGTAGAATGTAATATTCAAGGAATCAACATTGCTATTTGCTATAAAAGAAAATTTTAGTCATTTAAATTAGTTATTTAAGTTCACAAATGATCTAAACTTCATGCTATATCTTTGATATTGTACATACTACAACATTATTAATTCTATCTTTCAGGTTTTATTCTTTAAAACTTTTTTTATTTTATGACGCCACCTAGTTCAACTTCCGGTTCAACTCCGATTCAACCATTGAAACTTGAACCTCCTCTTCTACTAGCTCAACTTAAGGCCCTATTTTCTAAAACTTAATTATAAGTGAGAAATTACTAAATTACACATTTATATGTATTTATATATCTAACACTTTGAATTTTAAGATATCACCTTACCTAGAGAAAATATTATATAAGAATAATTAGACTTGTGGACGATGACCTGTATTTAGGGCTGTAAACGAGCCGAGCTTGAGC